ATAAAACTCAAAATAGATTGATTTGGAGGCTGTTGCCTTCTCTCCAAGCCTGAAGTGACAACTGTTTGGACTCAGGTTGTGGCAGGGAGGTTGGAAAGAAGTGGACATATTAGAGCAATATTTAGAAGGTGTCATCAACAAGACTTGAAGACTGATTGAATGCAGGGGTATGAGGGATGGAGGAATTGCAGATTTGGTGCTGGTAAAAATCCACCTCCAGGAAAAGGAAGAATTATCAGCAGGAAGATGAGTTCAATGTGGGGTAAGAAAGCCAAAGGACTATAAGGGGTATTGGTGTCACAGAAGCCTCGGGAGAAAATTTTAGGGAGCCAGTGGTCTACATGTCACATGTTGCCAGAGGTCAAGTGAAATGAGAAGAGCAAGCTGTCTGCATCCACTTTACAAATGTAATCAAACCTTTTGTCCTGACAATCAGATTTGTTTAGTAACTTAAACTCATGCACATGTTTGTAAATTTTAGAGTGAAATTAGAGCCCAGAATTTGTGACTCTAAAGTTCACACTTTGCGCACTTACTTATTTTTTTAATATACCATTTTTCTGAGCAGTTTTGGGTTTACAGAAAAATTGGGCAAAATATATAGAGAATTTCCAGCATCCCTTCTCCCCAGTTCCCACTGTTATTAGCATCTGGCATTAGTGTAGTACATTTGTGACAATTGATTAGCAAATATTGATACATTATTATTAATTGAAGTCCATAGTTTACATTAGGGTTCACTCTTTGCTTTATACATTCTATGGGTTTTGACCAATGTATAATGATATCTATCTATCATTACAGTATCCTACAGAATACTTTCACTGCTCTAAAAATCCCCAATATTCCACCTATCCATCACTTCTACACCCTCCCCCACTGACAAACCCCTTAGCAACCACTGATGTTTTTACACTTTCTATAGTATTCAGCTTTTTTAATTTTTTAATTATTTTTTTATCTTTATTTTTTTTTAAAGATTTTATTTATTTATTTTAGAGACAGAGCACAAGAGGGGGGAGCGGGAGAGGGAGAAGCAGACTCCCTGCTGAGCAGGAAGCCCGATGCGGGACTCGATCCTGGGACTCCAGGATCATGACCTGAGCCGAAGGCAGTTGCTTAACCAACTGAGCCACCCAGGCGCCCCAGTATTCAGCTTTTTTTAAAAAAAAATTTTATTTATTTGAAAGAGAGAGAGAAAGAGAGAGAGTGAGTCTGTGCTGGAGGAGGGGCAGAGGGAAAGGGAAAGAGAGCCTTAAGCAGGACTCCGTGCTCACACAGGGCTCCATCTAATGACCCTGAGATCATGACCTGAGTTGAAACTGAGTCAGACGCTTAACAGACTGCACCACCCAGGCACCCCAGTATGCAGCCTTTTAAGTCAGGCCTCTTTCATTTAGCAGTATGCATCTGAGTTTCCTTCACGTCTTTTCATGGCTGGACAGCTCATTTCTCTTTATTGCTGAATAATATTCTGTTGTCTAGATATACCTCTTTGTTTTATCCATTGCTGTAAAGCTTCAAGTGCAGGTTTTGGGTGGAAAAATCATTTGGGTAAATACCAAGGAGCACGATTGCTGGATTATATGGTATGGTTATGTTTCGTTTTATAAGAAACTGGAGACTGTCTTCCAAAGTTGCTGAATTATTTTGCATTCCCACCAGCAATGAATGAGACTTTTTACTGTTCCACATCCTCACTAGTATTTGGTGTTGTCAGTGTTTGGGATTTTAGTCATTCTAATAGTTGTGTGGTGGTATTTCATTGTTGTTTTAGTTTATAATTCTCTAATGATACATGATGTTAATCATATTTTCATGTACTTATCTGTCACCTGTGTATCTTCTTTGGTGAGGTGTCTGTTCAGATCTTTTGCTCATTTTCAAATTGAAGGTTTTTTTTTCTTATTATCACTTCTTTTATCAGTAACTTTTATCAGTAACTAGATTTTATTTATTTATTTATTTGAGAGAAAGCAGGGGAGGGGCAGAGGGAGAGGGAGAGAGAAAATCTCAAGCAGACACTGAGCTGAGCATGGAGCCCGATGCCGGCCTTGATCCCACAACACCTGAGCTGAAATCAAGAGTCAGATGCTTAACCGACTGCGCCATCCAGGTGCCCTCTCTCCTAAATTGCTTATAGTTGAGTTTTAGTTTTGTTTTTCAAATATCCTTTATGTTTTAATATGTTCAGTTAATTAACATTTAGTGCCATCATTTATATGGTTGGATGGAGGTCTAACTAAATTGTTTTCTGTTTCTCCCTACCAATTCATGTTCCTCTGTTTTCTCTTTTCTACTTTTTTTTATTATTATGCCTATTGGCTTTTTAGAAATTATCTTTTGAAATTTTTTTAGTGACTACTGTAGGGACTACACTACACAGGCTTAACTCTTCATAGTCTGCTTCATGTTAATATTGCACAATTTACTTATTTTTTAATATTGAACAATATTAAAGTTATAAACTTTGTGCTTATTCTTCTGTTATTTTTATAAACTTCAAATTCCACAAGACAATACTATAAATTTTTCTCTGTAAAGATATACATGTTTTAAAGAAAAAAATTATCTTTGTTCACTCAAATATTACCCATTTCTGATACTCTTCTTTGATAACCGAAGTTCTGACTTTCCCTCTGGTATCATTTCCTTTCAGCATAAAGAAGTTTCTTATAATTTTCTTGTAGTATAATTCTGATGACAACACATTTTCTAAGATTTCATTAATTGAAAAAGTCCTTTATTTCATCTCTTTTAAGGATTTTTCTCTATAAAATTATGGCTTAAATTTTTTCCCCCCTCTTCATTCTGGAGTTTAAGATATTGTTTCCCTGTCCCCTGGTTTCCATGGTTTCTGATGAGAGTCCTTGGTCATACAACTATTTTTCTTTGGATGCTTTCAAAATATTATCTTTACCTTTGGTTTTCAATAATTAGACTACAGAGTTCTTAGGTGTGGTAGTTTTTTGTTTACATGGTTTGGGATTTTCTGAGTTCCTTGAACTTGAAAAATTATGCCTTTAACAAAATTGGAAAGTTTCCAGCCACTAGTTCTTCAAATCATTTTCTGTTCTATTTTCTCCTTTGTGTTCTTCCTGGAAATCCAATTACATTATATAAGACATTTTTACATTGTTGCACAAGTCCCTGAACTCTGTTCCTTTTCCATCCCTCTTCTCTGTTTTTCAAATTCGAGAAATTCTGTTGATCTATGATCAAGTTCACTGACTCTCCTAGGTCATCTCCGTTATACTTCACAGCCCATCCAGTGAATATGTTTCAGATATTTGAGCTTTTTGTTTAATTTAAAAAATATTTTCCATTCCTTTACTGAGTTTTTTTCCTATTTATTGTGGGCATATTTCCTTTACCTCAGTGATGATACTTTTATTACCTGCTTTAAGCCCTAGTCTGATTTCAGTCATCTAGATCATGTAAAGGCTAATGTTTATTGGACTTAGTTTTGTTTGTTTCCCATAAAATTAACAAATAGGTAACATTTTTCTGGCACTTCATATACTGAATAATTTTGCAATGTATTCTGAATATTATATTATGTTGTGGAGCCTTGGTGTCTGTCTCCTATATTCCTCTGAAGAGTGTTGATATTCTTGTTTCAGCAAGCAGTTAATTTGGTTCACTTGAATGCAAACTCTATCATCCTTCTAGTGGGCAGTGATTCAAATCTCAGTTGAGATTGCTCTTATTCTGTCCCATGCATGTGTGATTTAGAGGTTAGCCGATGTCGTGTAAATTTATACACAGAATTTGTGACTTCTTTCTCTGCTTCTCCCTTTTCTGGGATTTCCCACTCATCCAGAATAATGTTTAACCAAATACCTGGGCACCTAATGGCCCAGCCAAGTTGACACATAAAATTAACTGTCACACTGTATCAGGTTCATCATCATGTTTTGAATGTTTGCCTGGAAGACACACATTGTCCGCTTATCTACTTAAGGAATTCTGAGTTACACTTCATTAACTTTCATGCAATTTAGAATTGCCAACCACTGACAACAGCTTCTTTCTGCACTTCTGTAAACAATCCCTCATATCTACTTGTATTTTTAATTATCCTTTTCTTTCCCTAACAACATTGTCAAATAGAACTTTCTGTGATGATGCAGATGCTTATATCTGCACTGTTTCATATAACTTTGAATTAGCCACAGACGGCTTTGAACACTGGAAATGCGGCTAGTGTGATAGGGAAATGGAATTCTTAACTTTAGTTAATTTAAATTTAGACAGCCACATGTGGCTAATGACTACTATATGGACAGTGTATCCTTGAACATGATTTTGTTTCCTTTTTCAAAATGTATTGGCTAACTGACATATTTCTCTGATAATTTGCTTTGATATACTTAAATAATAATTTATGGGGTCATATGATGTGTAATGTTAAGCATGCTTTTTATTCCTTTTCTCAGTCTCAGAAACTTTTTTTTAAACTGTTTTTTTTTTTAGTATCTGAAAGTTACTGATCTTTTCCAACACACACCCATAGAGTCAAAAATCCTTTTACTTTTACTATTATACAAAAAAATTTAAAATGGTATGTTCTCTACATGCATGGTCACTGTAGTCATTCCCCTTTTGCCAATCTTCCTAAACATGTTAAAAGTGTTATAAATTCATATTATTTTCCATGGAAACTGTTATTACAAACTATTAGTTGTGCTGTATTTCTGAAGCCTCTGCCCCTCAATTGTTTTCTAAGAAGATTACTTTTAAGCTTGTCAAGAAACTTTCCTCCTAATCGCTGCTAATTTTCTAAGTGCTGGGAATTAGCATTGATTGAACTAGGTATTGTTATTCTCCTTTATAGAAATAGTAAGAATCTTTAAAAATAAGTCCTTACAATTCATTATTTTTTATGTTAAATTTTAAACTGTGGATGTGAACATTTAACACACCAATTGAAGATTTTTACTTTATATGTTACCAATTTTTCAATTTATTTCATGATCTTTTGATATTTATCATTTCAGGACCACCAAACAATTTTGAGAGCATGGGCTGTAAAAGATTTTGCTCCAAATTGCCCTTTGTATGTCCAGATATTAAAGCCTGAAAATAAATTCCATATCAAATTTGCTGGTAAGTTTAGTCTCAACTGAGATACTTTGAATTTCCTCAAACTGCGATAGTAAGAGTTATGTCTCTGAAATTAGTGTCAACTTAATATATTCATGATTGCATAGAATAGAAGGATTTCTTTTTTATCATCTGCTTGTTATGAGAGAATTTATTCACTTTAAAAAGTGGCAAGCTAATGTTTGGGGAGTGAATTTGTACTTTTTTATATAATTTGGTGATTTAAGCAACTGAATTTACTGGATACCTTGGTAAGACTATAAATAGATTAGCACTTATAGTTTTATGCATAGTATAAACACAGGTTTTGAATGCTGCAGCTATTAATTTACACTTACATTTACACATAGATAGTGCTTTGTTATGGATTACTTAATATATATGTAAGCTTACATATGCATTAGAGTAATATTAAAATATATTCAAATGTATTAAAATAGATTTATTTGGAGATCAGACAGATTTTGAAAACATTTCAAGAAAAACATACAAGTGAGTTTTTCATAGAGACACCACTTTTAAAGTAATTTCATATGAGATTATACTTTAAACTGGAAAATGAACAGTAAGATGATAGTTTATTTTTTTCTTAAATGTTTCTGTAGGAACTAATTTTGATCCAGGCAGTAATTTATGTACATTTTTTTAAAAAAAATAACATCCTTGTTTTTTTTAACATTTCACCTTAATAATTTAAAGCTGCAAACATTAAAATGTAAGTCATTTTAACAAAGTGGTAGCAAAATGTACTTTCTTCATCTGTGTTTACAAATCTTAAAATGCTTACCTATTTGTATATGATATTTAATTGAAAAATTATAAACACTAAAAAATTTCTAAATAATATCGAGAAAACCACAAAATTATTGCAATTCAGTTTGCTGATTTTTATCTTTTACTCTTGCTTCTAATGGCATCAGTTTTCTCTAAAAATGTATAGCAAACTAATTAATGGCTCTTAACCGTGGCTGCATTTTAGTATCTGTTTGGAAGTTTGTTTTAAGTACTACTACTGGTTTAAATGGTTTGTGATGATGGTGCTATGTTTTTTTTTTTTTTAACCTGTTCCTTAAACTGAAAATTTTTTTTTTTATTTTTTAATTTTTTTTTTAAATACCTTAAACTGAAAATTAAAAATAAGAGCACCTCCTTTGTAAATGGCTTTGTGAAATTTAATGGAAAATACATGTAAATTCTCCGTCTGCTACCTGTTACATATGTAATTAGCATTCAAGAAATGCCGGTTGTTTATCTAAAAGACCTTTGCAACTAAGCTGCCTTGATTTTATTATTATTTAGTAAAAGGAATATTTTTGTAAAATTTTTATCGTACCTGATAATGACTTATTATGATATAATTTTTAGGAAGGCAGTAATGACATAAGTCCTAAAGATGTGAATTTAAATTTGAGTACCACCACTTAAGATTTAGATAGCCAAATTAGTATTCTGAGCCCTATTTTTCTCTTCTGTTACTTTATATATCATATGTATGATGTCTCTCTTTCATTGGTTAAGATTAGCAGTAAGGGTTAAATAATACCTGAAACATATTAGGTGCTCAATAAATGGATATGATATGTGGATCCTAAAACAATATGTAGTTTGGGAAAACAATTTATAATTTTGAATGTGTTATAACTAAAATTCAGAATAGACTTTAGTTCTTTCCTCTTCTTAACAGGCCCTAGATAGGTTTACAACAGATAGATCAAACTCACTGAAATAGTCCACCTTTACAAATAAAAAATTACAAAGGCTATTTGCATTGATTCTCTTTTATATTCTTATCTTGCCATTATTTTGATAAGCCCATTGAAATGAATGGGATAGTTAAAAGTTCTATCCTGATAGTTTATCACAATATTTCTTATTTATGGCACCTGCTGAAATTCCTTTTAATGATGTCTGTATTCTTTTAGGCTGAGATTACAACATCTCAGAGGAACTCTTCTTTTATATTATAAAAAGATAAAAGCATCCTAGTTTCATTAAAATGTCATAAAACAATTTGGGGTGATGTATGAGACTCTTAAACCAATATAATAAATTTCATATCTCAGCATGAGGTTAAAAGATTACAGACTTTACCTTTCAAAAGACAGTGTACCAAGCTGACACTTAGTTTGTATGGTAGACTGTTAAAATAATGGTCTTCAATGAACCATGTTCCCTGTGTCTGTCCAGTGTTGATGGGATCTTGCGGCTTATTCCATGAAGAGGTGAAATGTAGTTCTCTACCACTTGAATACAGGCTGGCCTTGTGACTGTGACCAGAATGTGACAAAAGCTACATTGTATGACTTCAGAGGCTAAGTCTTAAAAGTTTGTGCTTCTGCTTTCCCTTCACCGGAAAACTACCCAGAGAACTGCATGTAAAGCTTCCCAATTTAACCTCCCTAAGGATTAAAAATCACATGGAAAGTGACGCTAATCCATCCCAGGCCCTCCACCTCTCTAGCTCCTGACTTACCCACAGTCAACCCAAAGAGTCATACTGACGTACAGAATTTTGAGAAATTAAGTATTGGTTGCTTAAAGTTATTGAATTTTGTAGTTATTTGTTATTTGGCAATAGATAACTAATATCATTTGTAATAAAATAATAATTGCTTTAATCTTAAACCAATATTCATTTGATAATATTCATTATATTTTTGTCTTCTCATTTTCATGAGTGTTAAATAGCACAATTCCAATTATACAGGATATAAAATGAGGTAATTTTATTTCTGTTTATTTAAATAGCCTCTTCAATACACCCTAAATTGTGGAACTACTACCATGACTATAATTTATGTATTTTTTAAAACTAAATCCATGTTTTTAAAAGATGAAAAGAAGAAACTTTCAAAATTTGTTATGAATATATAAAATATTAAAAAGTAAAAACAATATAGCAACCTAGCAACTATTACTTTATGCACATCTACCAGACATATCATATATGGATCCTTTTCTTCTGAACAAAATCACTACATTCATTAAACTATTGAATTGTTACAATATCATTTGAATGAATTATTATATTATTAATTATAATTAAAATAATCTACACTTTGATGAGAGTTATAAGAGAAAAGACTATATGGGAATGATTTCAGCAGCAGAAAAGATATGTTCTTACTCATTTCATCACGAGAGGGAAGTAAAAATAGTAAGTCTGGAGATAGAAAATATCTTTAGTAGAATAATAGCTATAATACAGAATTTCTGAATATAAACCACTACAAATTTTAATGTGATTCAATAACATAAAAATATATTTCATAGATAATTTGATTATTTTAATTACCACAAATTTCCTAAGAAGAAAATAAACTCAAAATGGCTCATAGAAAAATTTGCTTTCAGCAATTTTCCTTTTTATGATAAATTAAAGTCGAAGTAAAGAGATCGATACTGCAAATCCTGGAATGAGACCATCCTCAGTCAAATTTCCATTCTACTATATAGTAACTACATGACCTCAGGCTTCTTAATTTCTCTCAGCTTGAGTTCTTTGAAATATAAAGTGTGATTAATAAGAGAAACTATCTCTTAGGTTTATTATAATTTAAAAAATACTCAAAAGAACATCAGTCACTCATAATTGGTACCTATCAAATTGATGATTATCATGAATCTTGAGTACCTATTTTTCATCCTCCTCACAATTCTATATTATCTTTATTCCCAGGAAAAGTGACTGGGGATTGCTCATGATGTTTTACAGCTTATTATAGGCATTCAAAAAGAACATAGTTCTCAACTTGTACATATTTTCCGAAGAGTAGAAAAAGATCTCTTCCCAACTCATTTTATGAGGCTGACCTAGCCATGATACAAAACTTATTGAGGATAGCATGAGAAATGATTAGAGACCAATTTAATTGATTAACATAGTTGAAAAATTATATAAAATATATATATATTTTTAAGATTTTATTTATTTATTTGACAGAGAGAGATAGCGAGAGCAGGAACACAAGCAGGGGGAGAGGGAGAAGCAGGCTTCCCGCTGAGCAGGGAGCCCGATGTGGGACTCGATCCCAGGACCCTGGGATCATGACCTGAGCCTAAGGCAGACGCTTAACGACTGAGCCACCCAGGCACCCCGAAAAATTATATAAAATATATTAGCAAAACTATCAAAGTAATGTATTTAAAAAATAATATATCATCACCAAGTTGAAATTATTCCAGAAATAGATCATCATGTCAAAGGAGAAAATAGTATTTCAATGGATACAAAAGAAACTTTTGAGAGAGAATTCAGTATCCATTTACAATTTGAAAAAAAGAAAAAGAAAGAAAAAGTGTTAGACAGTTACAAGGAAAACATTCCTTAGCCTAAGGAAAATTATCTACACAATAACCTAGAAGAAAAAATAATGACCACATATTGAAAGTCTGCCTTTAAGATTAGGCACAAACAGGGATGCTTACCAAACCACTTTTACTCAGCATTTTCCTGGAAATCCTAAGGAGTGCAGTGAGACTACAAAAATAAATAAAAGGAGTAAGCACTGGAAAGCGAGATATAAAATTGCCATATTATTTAAATAAGATTTTCTACAATATTCCTTACATACTTTTTCCTTAGGGGGTCTCATTCATTTCTATGATTTCCAAAATTACATCTCTCCCTCAGTATTCACTATGAGCTTCAGTGTTGTATCTCTGTGTAGTCAATATCTCCTATTAGGTTTCTAACAGCAGTCTCAAAATTAAGATATCTAGAAATATTTACTGATTTTCCCTGACTTAAAATCTGTTTCTGTCCCATTCTTCTCAACACCATCTACTTAGAACTCAAGCCAAAATCCATGAATCATTCTTCAATCGTTTGCTTTCAATCCATCAAGTCCTATAGTTTAGACTCCCTGAGTATCCCAGGCTTACCCACTGACACAACCCTAGTTCATGTCATGATCATGGCTGTGTCAAAACACTCCCCTTTCCTTCTTTCCTGGGTATCCATGAGTTCTGCCTGTAGGCTTACTTCTAGTCTTCATGTTCCC